GCAACCTCTAACGGGTTCGCGTTGTCTTCGCTGTTATCGTTCCCCGACGCAGCGTGTGGTAGGTATCGTTTGAGTTGGTTGAAATGTGCCCCAAAGGATGGTTTCCATCGATCCAACTTCCAGAATGACGCAATTTGTTTCCGATTGTACTCTTCCTACCTCAAAGGGTCCGCATCATTCTTTGTAGAGTTTCGTTGGTACCCCAGGTTTCGTCTGTGTCTTGTGGAACCATACACGGTCGCCTGTCTTCAATGGGGCTCCGAATCGCTTCTTGTCTTAATAATCCTTTAGGTATCTCTGTGATGCTTCGAGGTGGGTACGAGTCATCTGGTTCGCTGTTCTTAGTGAGTCGATCACCCTTGGTACATAACCTGTGACCGTCCATGACTGGCGATCAATCGTTGGTAGACGATTGTCGCTCGGGAATCTCATCTCCCTGCCAGTCCACAGGAAGTGCGGTGTATGGCTCGTAGATCGTTGGACCGTCCTGTTGTACGCGAGAAGGCAGCGTGGTAGTACGCGGTCCCATTCTTTGGGGTTGGTGTCTGTGAAGGCCTTTAGTAGAGCTTTTAGGCTAGGGTTTGTTCTTTCCCTTTGGCCATTGCCATAAGGGTGGTAGCCTGTTGTTCTTGTCTTATCTATTCCTAGGGCTTTGCACACTTCCCTCAGCAGAGCGCTCTCGAAGTTTGTTCCACGTTCCGAGTGCAGTTGACCGGGTGCACCCCATCTGTATACCCATCTGTCGAGTATTGCATCCGTCACGGTCACAGCGTCGAAATGTTTTAGTGATATGGCCTCACACCATTTCGGGAAGTAGTTAACCAATACAAGAATGTATTTGCGGCCATTAGCGTGAATCACCAAAGCTAAGCTAATGTGCCTAACCATTCACGTTGTTTGCATAAATCGGGTTGGAGAGTATGGATCGTCAGAGCCTCGGCAAATTTCATTAACTTCGTGTTTCAAAGGCGAATTCGTCGTGTATGTAGCAAACAGAGCGTGAACTGAAAAGTTATGAAGCACTGGACAGCTGTTTCAACCTTGTTGGGTATCATCAGTAGTGCGAACCCGTCGATCCAACTGGGGATCGAACCCAGGACCTCGCAGGCGGAACGCAAGCGTACTACCCACTCGGCCACCGGGCAGCTGATCAGACCGTTTTTCATTTTGCATTTATACGATATAGCACAACCCATCTTTGCGACCTTGTTGCGGGCCACAGGCCCTGTTCATCTTAGCACTATTCTCTGGGTTATGACTCGGTTGGAACCATTCACAACCTGACTACTTATTTCAAGTGGGTGTGTTTGCTCTGGTGTAGATGACCTGGAATGCATGGGTTGGAGTGACACCGTGGTTTTTTTCTCATCCCTCCTTTTCTGAGTTGTTGTGTCGTGTTGTTCGTTGTGATTCGTTTCACAGTTATTATCTCAATGACTATAAGAATCAATTTTACTGCAGTATGCACCTGTACAGATGCAACGAAATGACCATGGATACAATATGCAAACCAAACCAAAGTTCAGCTGGTGAACAACGTGCTAACGTTCAGCGAGAGCACTGTTTGATCGGGCAAGGTCACGTCGTGAATTATGTTTATAAAAGTGAATGTATCATTCACGGTGATTCTCGGTGCAAATTCCAAAGCGATTTCAATAATTTGTCCAACCATTACATCAGATACGACAAGTTGCGCGAAACCAAAATCGGTCTTAATGATAATCCCTATGTGTTACTTTGATAATTAACATATTCTTAGGATTACACTACTCGTTGATCAAATACTTAAGAAAGAGGGTAAATCAATGATTGCCTTCACCTTTAAACACCGTAAAGTCTCATCAAGGTCCCATCGGGGATGTCTCCTCCTTTCCCGCCATTTTGATGAATTTTGATAGATGACTCTATTGTTTCCACCGCGTTTATATAGTCGGTTCAATTTAGCAGCATCATCAGATTCACATAGTACAATTTCCATGTTTCTGGGTTGATCTTTTGAATAACTGCGATGCTCAGCAGTCAATGATTCACTTGGATTCAACTTCACATTCTCATACTGGTTACCGGCACTCATTAAGGTATAATTAAGCCTTTTCAGTTGCATTGATGAGGAAGTAAACGGGTCAGAAACGTGTTCATAAAGATTACTACATTTCACCTCCAAATCCATTTATTTATGTCGTTGATTAGGACAATAGTGATTTGTTCCTTGAGCTAACACTTCAAGCGGTATTTTGAACAAATCCATGCCTGGACGTTTGAGAATGTAGTGTTTGGTGTTGACAAGGAACTCACCCATTGACTTGAAAGGTTTTTTTGCATTCATCTTGTGTTTCAGACGCGTTCCTCCTGTTTAGACGCAATAGACTGAATGTGGTCATCGAAAAATTATCTTTCAGTGAACGATACGTTATCTGGCACACGCGAACATGTCACACGGTTTTATTTCAAATCTACAAGATAATTGGACAACATATGGCGAAGTGTCAGAATAGTAGTATCTACGTCCACTCCTAAAAGTGGTCCAATAATGATTCGGAAACACCGATTTGGTAATACAATCGTCATTCAATTGTGAACTAAGTGTTGTGTCCGGATCTCGATTGATCACAATATACACACAACAAGATATCACACGATGACACACGAGGAACACACGTAACTCAACGGCCACACTATTCGTCTAGCCTCACGAGTACGATCACAGCACAGATTGGACGCCACGAGCACTAGTAGCCTTCTCCCAGCTACGTAAGCAAGAACACAGTTAGTGCACAGCGAACGTGTATTCGACACACAGGAAAGCAAGTCAATTTACAAGTTTTACTCTGATGCTTATATGGGTCTCAAAATAACATCGATTAAATGCAATAAAAGATTATGCCAATCAAGTACAGTTAGCAAAGTTCGATTGATCATAAGTCACGGAGTTAGCGAATTTCAATCGATCACGAATCGGACGGACGGAGTGAATGTCTCCGTATGACGCGATATGATTGATTATTCTCCGCGAGATTGGTATTGATTGGAGATGTTCCGAATTGCAGACACTCGAAAAATAGTCAGTTTTAGGTAAAAATAGTCTTTTTACCTAACACTAAGGCATTTTCGGGACCAGGTGCGTACAGAATTCAATAATCTTCTGAAAATCACGAAGTGCGATTAGGTCTTTGGATTCCTGGCGTGGATGGAACAGTCATGCAAAACACATTTCTGTGTTTTAACACAGAGTGGCGGAATAGCTCTTTTTTACTTACTCGGAATCAAGCCAATACATTGCTACACACAGTTAAATTAAGGCGAAATTTTTTTCAAATCGAAACTGTTTCCGAGTCTCGAATCTTGGATAACGACGTAACGGACGAAACGTTCAAGAAGCTACGATAACTCTTGGATACACCAAAACCAGCAATCCAGTACGTTCGGGAATTCCATTCTCGACGAAAACTCACTGATGAAAACGTCCACACTTACTTCCGAACGCTGCGACATCTGGAATGGCGTACATTTCCAAACCAGTTTAGCCCGGAACGCGATCGTCGAATCCTAGAACAGCTCGTTGAGGGCACATCATCCACCAGTACCCAAAAATAATTCTACCTGCAGCACCCAGAGGAATTAAGTAAGCTGTCGAAAGGGTGGAGCTGTTGGAGAGACGCGACGCAGCAATAGCCTGCCAAAGGAGAGCATAGTCCCCTCACATTCCCCATTCCTTCCATGTCGGTATTCCCCGATACACGCCATCGCAAAGTAGATGAAAATTTCACCGACCCGGATTTTGGACTTGGGACGTCGATGTGGCCACCGAAGGACTAGGAGAGGACACAGAGGAGGTGAGTTCCCGCCAAATATCATCACCCCAGTCTCATCAACTTCGCCCAACACGTCGTCCCTCACCGCACCACTGACATTCCAGAACAGAACCATATCCGGCCTGATAGATACCGGGTCCTCCCACAGCCTGATTCGGGCAGATATCGCCCAAGACCTATCGGGTGAAGTAAGGCACATCACCCACACCCGCTTAATAGCCGCACACGGTTCGGCAATGAAGACGGAAGGAATGTTAATTGCAACGTTCAGCCTAAGAACACACCGATTAAGGCACAAGTGTATAATCTCCCAGAAATCCCATTCGATTGCATAATCGGACTAGACTTCCTGAAGTCTGGATACTAGCAAGTGGAAGTTGATGAAAAAGATCACTCCAAAACAGCTTTTTCCACACCCTCAGGGCTCTATGAATTCCAGACGATGCCGTTCGGGTTAGTGAACGCACCGACTACGTTTCAACAATTAATGCAACAGGCCTTGAAGGGTCTGATCCCGAACAAATGCCTCGTTTATCTGGACGATATAAGCGTCCACGGAACCACAGAAAAGAATCACTTGGATAATCTAAAAGCAGTCATCGCCAGACTGAGAAAAACTGGCCTCCGCCTGAAATCGGAAAAATGCCACTTTATGCAGTCTCAAGTTGCATAACTTAAACACACCTTATCGGCAGCAAGAATTCAAACAGACCCAAAGAAAGTCGAACAGGTACAATCCTCGCCTACACCACAGAGTTTGGAAGAAGTCAGAAGCTTCCTAGGCCTAGCGTCTTACTACAGGCGATTTATTTCTAATTTCGCTCAAATTACGTCACCTCTACACTCCATGTTGGAAAAGAACAAACCATTTAGCTGGGGCTCGGAATGCGAAAAGTCATTTCAAACACTGAGAAAAATCCTTTGTTTATCCCCCATTTGGTACTTCCTGACACGTCTTCGTCTGCTCTGTAGTTTATTCTTGACACAGATGCCAG